TGCTGAACCACCAGGTGTGCCAGGCCGAGAGCAGGCTGTCCCCAGCCCCATCAGGTCCACAGTCCCACAGGGGAGGGCTGGCCCTGGCCTCAGTTTGGGGGAGCAAAGGCCTCTATACACCCATCTTCTGTTCTGGCCACAGACATGCTCTCGTCTCCCCGTGCCTGTGCTCGTGCAGTTTCCCCACCGAAACGTCCTTCACCCCAGCCGAACTCCACCTTCCTCTCCTCCAAGAAGCCCCTCTTCCAGACTTTGCTGATCTCTCCATCCATTCACTTCTTTGTTGTGTGTTGCATTTACTCCTCAGCCACTGCTTTACTGAGCATGTGCTCTGTGCCATCCCCTGCCCTAACGGCCAGGCGTACAAAGATGAAGAAGGCCCAGTCCCTCCCTCTCAGTCCAGCGGGGGCATTGGACCCACAGACAGGGTACTGAGTGCTGGGAAGGAGGGGCTGGTGATGTGCAGGGGAGGGACTTTCTGCCTGGGAGAGGTGACGTCATTCTTACATAGATTCATTAATTGAGGCCTCTTACATGCCGAGCTCATGCTAAGCACTGTACATACATTCTTATAACAGCTCTGGGATGCTGTGGACGTTACTGTCCCTTTTACAGATAAGGAAACTGAGGCAGAGAAGGGTTAAGTGACTCCCAGTGTTAAAGGCACTGGGAGGTGGCGCTCAGAGCTGGGCCTTAAAGAACAGGTGTAGACTGAGCAGGGGAAGGAAGGGGTTCGGGGCATAGAGACCAGCAAGGGCAAAGGCCCTGAGGTCGGAAATGCACATAACGTTTCAGTTGACTGGACTCACGGAGAGAGAATGTGGGCGTTGGGGGAGTGGGGAAGGGAGGTTATGGAGGCCACAACGGCTGCCTGGAGGAGGCTCACCTACTTGCACAGGCCGTGGGGAGGAGCTGTCATGGCGGACAGGATTGGACCTGTGTTCTAGGAAGACGAGGGTCGGCATGGGGGATGGACTGGAGTGGGAGTGCCCAAGGCAAGGGCAAGGGGGGCCCAGGTGTCCTGTGCTGGGTGAGGGGAGCTGGAGTCTGAGTGAAGATGGACAGAGAGCCCAGGATGTCCGATGCACTCCCGTCCTGCTCTGGGCGGCTCTGCTTACCTCTCCAGTCACCTGTGAGTCCCCCTGTGCTGAGTCCTCCCTGTCTGGCCAGGCTTATGCCTGGGACACCAGGAATGTGGTACTTAAGAAGCTGGGTGGGAATGAGGGGCATTCTACACTTCACTTATTTGCAGATTATAGATTCTTCTAACAGCAACCTCCCCACCATCCCTTTTCCTCTCCCCAGAGAGGCTGTAGGTGTGCACGTGTGTGCGTGTGTGTGTGCGTGTGCGTGTGCGTGTGTGTGTGTGTGTGTGTGTGTGTGTAGCTGATGCTTTTCCTCTCCCTCTTTCTCATGGGCCAGTTAACTGGGACGACTGGGCAGTGATGCTTTAAGGAGCCACACTGGGGCTCGGCAGCATCAGGTCATGCTGAGGATGTAGGGGTCTGGAGTTCCAAGGCAAGATGGTGCCCCTCGCTCTCTGCTCTTCCCCCAGCCTGCCCCTTCCTCCCATGGGCCGCTGCAGCACCACACACTCTT